AAGAAAGAAAGAAATCAGTTCCGAACATAACATATTAAACTATTATAAGAAATTGACTAAACTCTTTTAAGAGAAAGACTTATAAATAGTGAAAAAATGAAGAAAGAATTTCGACCAGTAAGGATATAGATATGCACAATCCAGGCTATTTGGAGAGAGGAAGAGAAAATATTACTATTAGAAAATAATGGCCATTGTGAAGCTAGTAAGAGAGATCAGATAAGGGCGGCACAGCGGCAAATGAAAAGCAAAGTGAAAGTGTTGAGAATTAGGTTTTGCGTAGGTGCAGTGTCACGCATGTGCAAGTTGCTTTGAGTTTCCCCCGGTTTATGCAAACAAGACCAAAAGGAGATAAGTAATGTATCCTCCTAATTTGGATTTGTCAAGAGATGAAGCCTCTGGCTGGGTTGGACATAAGAGAAGGAGCAAAGGCTAAATTTTTCCTAAATCTTCTGAACCTGTATGAAGCCATGGTTTGAAAAGCTGTTGGTGTATGTTCAGTCAGGTAGTATATGAAGTTCTTGGAAAGGTTAACAATTAATGTTAATGGCTATAGTACTGGAAAGGAAATATTTAGTATCACCTGGGATTCAGGCTCAGCAATGTGAGAGTCTTGGATGGAGCAATTAAAGGCTAGTAATTAAGATCTTCCTTTTTCATAAGGAAAACTGGAAATACGGTTAAAACAATAAAAAATGGCGTCGCTTGGACTTGAACTGGAGACCTTCAGTGTGACGTGATAACCAACTACACCACGACACCCTATTGTGATCCGTTTCATAAATAGTTCTAATTTATAACTAAGTTTAATATGACATTAATTAAGTTATTAACCCTTTCAAAACCAAGCTGGATATACACTCTACTCGTTTGTTTACTATTCTTTGGTTAAATTTACATTTTCTTCGTTACTATTCTTTTTCATAAACAAAGTCATTACTATGAGTAGATTAGAGTGTTCTCACAAAAAAAAATATTGAGTCAATGTGCTTTTCACTATATTCCATGTATCAAAATACTTTTTTTTTTTTAAAGTTACTGGCTAGATTACATTGAAGTATCTGTTCATATACTTTCTCAACCTACTGAAACACAAAGAACCAATAACGCCTCCACTGAGGCTTGAACTCATAATCTTCCAAATGGAAGTCCAACCCGGATACCATTAGACCACATAGTCCTGGTCATGTATCAAAATACAAATCAATTAAAATGAATATAAATTTCATTTGAAATCAACCATATTATTAAAATAGGGACACAATAATGGTGATACATTTAGCTAAACCTCCCTTTTATCCGTGATAATAAGGACTATAACCATACTGATACGCCCGCGGCGGCGCAGCTTCATAGGCTGCGGTATAACTACTTCCCCCGCCGTAATATCCACCGTATTGCGGCGGCAGCGGCGGCTGCACGTGCATGTATCCGCTGTGACTCATAGGCTGAGGCACTGTGCTCCTCATTTTTCTCAAATGGTACGCCACGTCTGCATCCATGAAATCGTCGCCAAATCCCCTCACATGAGCCTTCGCCCACGGTGGCGATGGCGGCCGCGCCACCCTTGGTGCCGCCGCCGCCGCCGCCGAATGGCTTTCGCGCTTGTGCACACGGCTCTTGTACTTCGCGTGGGCATCCTCGTAGTCCTCATTGTTACCATTATTATCGTCGCTATTATCTCCGCAAGCGAAATGATCTTCTGCTTCTTCGTCATCTTTTTTGCGACGAATTGGAAAACTGTTTTTTTCCATGGATTCAGTACTAGAAGTAGAAGAAGTAGAATAATGTTTTTGTGGTCCATGTTTAGTAGTTTTGTCGTCATGTGTGTCTTCTTGTTTTGTGGGTTGATAATTAGAGAGGTTAATCATCTTGCAGTAGTATATGACTTGTACTTTTCTCCCTTTCTTCTCAATGGCGTGTAGGAGCTTCCCAAGATCTGTTGTGCCTGCTATGTGTACCCACTTTTTCTTGGCTTCTGCTACCACTGATATCACCCCTGCACCCACCAATAATAAACCACAATTAGGTGTTTAGTAAATAGCTGTTAGCTGATTATGTTAATGTGTTTGATTAGTAGATAAAATTAGCTAATAGTGAAAAATGTTTGGTAAATTTGCTGTTAGTTGATATATAGCTGGTGGTTGATTACCTGTAAAAGGCTGATCGAAAAAAACTGTTTTGAGCAACTTTTTGAATTTTAATGTTTTGGAGCTGAGCAATAAGTTGTTACAAAAAGCTAATTAATTAAACACTTATATTGGCTGTTTAACCAAGTCAAACAGCTAATAATGAATGATCAGTCAAAATTGGCTGATAAGCTAACTATGTCACAAAACATGATCAATATGAATTGAAGAATTTAAGAGTAATAACCAAAGGGTGAACACTCATTAGACTTACATTTGATTTAACATTGATTTCACAAGAAATTGTAGAGTGATATTTAAGTTATAGTCTAGCATAATTTTTGTAGTATCAATGTGAATTTTCATTCTACTTTTAGCTAATAAGATAAAAAGAACAATAAAAAGTAACCGGAGTTCAAAGTCAGACAACTATTAATGACAAAAATACACAACATAATAGTGTACCTTTGATTTTTGAGAAACGTTTCTCAATTTTCTTGGAACATCTCTCACAAAAACAAGAACTCACTTCCAACACACAATTCTGCAACAAATAAAACCCGAAATTAAACCTCATTTGCAGTACCAATATAAACAAAACATAGTACCAAAAATCAATTATTGTCACATCGTCGCAGTCGAATCCGTCACACAACATATTTCTTGTGTGATTTACGGGTCATTACATAAAAATATGACACGCAAAATAGTGATTGCAAATTTCTATCATTACTATTAAAAGAAAAACATAGGACAGATCTTAATTAATCTGCTAAAAAAGGCAATTAAAGCAGTACTTTAGTTGCATTATATTTGATGAATTTGTAAAATCTTATTTTACCTAAAATCCATTAGCAATCAATGGAATAACAAAATTCAAAATACTAAATTAAAATATATGTTCACTGATTCATAAATAAATTAAAATTAATCAAGAATTTCTCAATAGGTGAGAATGTAAGATGAACAAAATCATAGGATTACATATATTACCGGGGGAGGGGCTTCATTTTCCATTAATAATGCTCTTTTTGCGGTCTAGATGTTCCACAATAGCCTACAAATAAAGAAAAAAAAATTGATAACAAAATTATATATATGTTTAACAAGAAAACTAAATCTTTGTACCAAAAAAAAAAAAAATCAAAAAACAAAAAAAAAACAAAAACGTATTGCATTCTTCGTATCATTGTGTATGAATAAGTTAAAATTTTATTAGTAACCACACATATATTAGACCAAGTTTTTGTGTTTTTTTTTTAAGAACAGCTCAGACCAAGTTAGTCGAGCGGTTGGTTTGATAACCACAAAGTTCTAAATTCAATTCCACATCAGTTATTACCTGCTAGGATCATAATGCAGACACAAAATCAAAATTAGTTCATTTTTTAGGTGCGCACCTTCCCATGGTGGTTGCGGATTTTACTCCATCAAAAAAAAAAATAAAAAATAAAAAAAAATCATCAAACAAGAAATTAAAGGGATAGCAAATTAGCATTAATTACGGCAAGAAGAATAACATAATTAACAACCAAAAAAAAAAAAAAAAAAAAAACATTATGTAACAAAAGAACAGACAATAAGAAAAGGTTAAGATTGTGATGATTAATTAAGAAAAGAGTAGCTAGGGTTATGACAAACCTGTTGGTAGGGTTAATGATAGAGAGAAAAGTTTAATCACCATAATATCGTTGAGGGGTTCTTATACCTAGATTTCACAGAACACAAAAGGTAAAGAATTTTCCTTGCCCCTCTTCAGCTGTTCACTTTCCTTATTTCTAATCTCACTTTGACTTTATAATCTTACTCCATAACTCCATAATTAATTAATTAATCTCCGGACTTTACTATATTGGATTTTAAAAAATCCCTTTCCATAGATACAACATTTATATTTATTTTTGTGTATAACACATATTTCACTAGGGGTGTTCAATCGGTTAACCGTTCGGTTAACCGAACCGTTTTAACCGAACCGAATTAATCGAAGTTTTTTTTTCATTAACCGTTAACCGAACCGAAGTTTGCTCTATCGAATTCACCGAACCGAAATTTTTTTCGATTAACCGATTAACCGAACTTTTTAAAGGTAAAATTTAAAATTCTAAAAATAATACCTAAAATAATAAATCTAATTAAAATAAAATACATATCATAATAAATTCATAACAAAATATAAAAAACATGAATTATAAACTCCAAACATCCATAATATCAAATTAGTATTTATATTTATATTATTATTTATATATATATATATATATATATATATATATATATATATATTAAAAACTTCGGTTAACCGATCTTTCGAACCGAATTAACCGTTAACCGAAATTTTAAAATTCCTTTAACCATTAACCGAACCGAAAAAATTCGGTTCGAAAACGGTTAACCGAACTTTGTTGGTTCGGTCAGTTAACTGAAAATTATCCGAAATTTGCACACCCCTATATTTCACCTTCAATTTTACTAATATGGAATTATGAATGACTTATTTTTCCCTTATGGGTGGTAAGGTTTGGCCTAGGGCTTTTAAACAAATAACAATTATAATTCCAATGCACACCGTACTCTTTCTGACAAGAATCTAAAATATTAGAAATATTTATTACTTATAATTTTTCTTAGTGCAGTTTACATCTTCTACCTTGAGTAATGGTTGCAGATTTTTCTCGTCACTAAAATATATCATTTAACCAATGCATTGTATTTACTCTCTTAAATCTATTTGCCTGGTTAAAGGGACAATAATAATATTTTCTAAATCACAAGCAGACAATAGAACAAGTCAATTTTATCTCTTTCACACAAAAAAAAATATGGTCCTACAAGGCTACAATGAGACCATAGAAAAACTATACTCCAACCTTATCTCTTTTATCTTACCCTTAAAGTGCACAAAAATGTTGAAGTATTATGCAGCATTGCTCTCCCTATCCTCACCTCCTCCTTCTCTGCCTATATTTCCCACTGGTTTTACTCTACATTATCCATCTTCACTGAGTTTCTCCTCCTCATCTATCAATGGCCTCAAACCGGCGGCCCGACGCCTTTCGGGCTCACTTCTGCATTCTAGGAGGAGAGTTATATATGATGATGACAATGAAGATGAAGAAGAAGATGGGTATAATGCTGAAATAGCAATGTTGGAAGTTTACAGTCAGTCTGTTAAAGATGAAGCTCTTCTTGTCAAGGCAGTTGTGGATGAGGAGGAAGTTGAAGTCATTATCTTCAAGGTAAAATGTTTTTAGTTGTCATCTTTAAATTACTCAATCCAACAATGATCACACTACAATTACAATTACAATTCATGGTATATATAATGCATATAAATAAATAAATAAATAATATTTTTAAAATTATATGAATTACTAAGGTTGTTTGACTCCTAGTGAGGGCGGCTTATTAACCTTCTTAGTTTGAATCGGTCAGCTATGGGTAACCTAGAAGGGTAACTTAGAATGATTATTTACTCTCTTGTAGTCATTTATCTGTTAAGGTTACAATAGGGGATTTACTCACTGCACAACCATAAGTTGTGGTTGCCAGTTTTCCTTGTCACCCAAAAAAACAAAATAGACGAATTAACATAATTACATCACTACAGAAATTAAAATTACTTTTCAGGAAACAAAATTCATAATTTCCTTTACTACAATTTTTTCTTCTAAATATATATTGTACTTATTATGATAGGGATTTTCGTCATCATTGAGCTACGGGACTTCTCCGGATCCTACCAAAAGTGTCCTTCCAGCAAAGGCAAAGATTAAGTATATAGACAGAATTAAAGGGCCATTTAACCCATCCAACATTGATTATATTGAAAGAGATATACCTTGGGATGCTTTTAAGAGTTTACTTTAGCTAATATTTTATTTTGTTGGTGAGAATTGAGAAACCAAGATAAAACCAAATTATAATTTCTAAATTATAGTTTCTGCCTTGTATTTAGAATGCAATTAACATTGGAATGGTCACATTTCATAAATTTATTTATTTTTTATTTATTGATTTTTTTGTTTTACTACATGAAAAAAATAGTCATGGTTACAATTACAAACGCACAGTTGTTTTTCATGAAGCAAAATACACAGCAGGTGTTATGAGCTTTTAGTACAAAATGGTTTGGAATGAAGAAAATGGCGTCGCCCGGACTCGAACCGGAGACCTTCAGTGTGTTAGACTGACGTGATAACCAACTACACCACGACACCTTACTGCTTGTTGCTCACTGCAGAATATTTATAAATAAAATCACTTTAAATTAAGCAATTCTCTAAACTAAAATAAATTTAATGCAAACTTGAACATATTTTAGAACATCTCTGATATTAATTATGAAATACATCAAACATGTCAAAATCATATTAAGGTATTGAGTGCAAGTGCGACATTTTGTTTTAGCCTGTTACAGGATTTTAACAATTTATATCAAAATTTTATTTGTATATGAATTTATTTAAATTTCATATATAGCTGTGGATACAGTTTATGCAAATTAAAAATATAAAAGAAAATATTGTTTATGATCCTTCTCACCTTTTGGATGGCTTTACACCGGACCTTATCAAACACCAGGTAGTCATTTCTTAGGTCGTCTCCTCAGTAGGCCGGCATCGAATGAGTGAACCCTCTTCTAGGTAGTCCTTTCTCACTTTTTCCCTTTTAAATGGCTTCACTCCAAACCTTATCAAGTACTAGGTAGCCCTTTTCTAAGCCGCCTCCTCTGCTAGGCCGGCACCTTCTAGATAGCCCTTTGCCACCATACAGTCCATACTCTGGCCTTTCAACGAGAGCAACACTTAAACTAAGACAATAACTCCATCACAAAAACTAGCTTATGAATGAAGATTTTAGGTTTGTCATTTATCATTTGTTTTGTTTGCCCCTATGATGCTTGCCGCAAGGCATTGGATTGTGCAAATAATAGTTGGAAAATCCTGACATGATGTTCGATCTAATTGGTGGAGTAAGCTAGCAGTTAACTTTGTCAAAATGAATGATGGTGGAGGTGCTCTGTGGAGAAAAATTGTATAGAATAAATTTGAATATTAATCTCCAACCTGTTAAGAGTCAAAAATTTAAGTCCTCAGATATTACAAAAGAAAAAAGGTTTGTATGTATGGCCAATTACAAGCAATAAAAGATTCTCTGCTATTCCCTCTTCAAATTTGTTGACATTCCCAGTTGAATCATAGAAGCAAGCACTTGTCAGCATATAACTTCGAAACCGTCTTTTCCGGGGAACTGAAAGGCAGTCATAACTATTCATGAACAAACCATTGGCAGCAGCACTCTACAAGCTTATTATGTTCTGCCTTTCTGTAGGGGCAACACACTGCCATAACGAACGATAAGAAGGAATTGTAGCAGCATCGATCCCTAAGGAAGAAAGGTTCCGGGCATATTCCTGATAATCGGAGAAGTGGAAAAAGGATAAACAAATGTACCATGGAGTGCTCTCAAGAATAAATGTGAATTAATCGTGTTTATAGGACTTGTTGAACCATGTTGGTCACCTGAATATCGAGGAACAACTGCATACAGATCTTGTCGGTATCAGATATGTTATGATCTGAAACGTCTGAGCTTGCTCCAGCTCGTCTTTGAGCGCCCAAACGTATCTTCTGAAGTGAAGACTCTGTTTTCCGAGCCTGAAACCAAGATTTAAATCCTATTAGAAGATTTTTCTTGTGCGAGGGCAAAGGGGAGTGGGAAATAAGGGAGAGGATTCAGGATCTTATATTTAAGCAAACTAAGCTTCATATCTGCTTACCACATTGACAAGGTCTGCAGCTAATTCATAGTAACGATCAGTAATTTTGAAGGCGGCACCTTGCAAGAGCTCGAATCTCAGCTCCTTAGTTAAGTATGTTGTAGCCCGTTCTCCATCCAAAAAAGTCTGAAAGGATTCATTATTATTCTCAATTCCTTAACAAAGTCAGTACTCTACACAAGGACAAAAGCTCTGTGTTGCAGGCTTGGAGATATTGTCAATATAGATTTAATAGTGGCAATCCAAATCAATCGTAGAAAAAGAACATCTTTGTAACAGATTTGCTTATTAATTATCATGCTCCAGATCAAGATCTGGGCTGTTTTATGCATGAAGCACTTCACTATACCAGAATCTTCAAAATTTTGAAGAATTCCTTAGAAACTGGTAGAGAACTCATTCACATCAACCAAATACTCTAGCATGGGATAGTGACGAATCAACACAAAACTCTGGGGTTAAATGATATTCCGTAATAAATTAAAGTAGCATAAAACTTACAAACTTACAAGCAAAAGAAAATGTACCTTTAATGGCCGGAGTACACCTGAAACATATGGGGAATGCCTGACAGGTAGGGGCTTGTTTGTCATCCTATATGTAGCAGTTATCCCCTTCAGTTGTCTAATGTCCTGTAGTATGTGTGAGCAAGAGATTGTATCACCAAATAGCAAAATATTTTATATTCTACAAACAAATTATAATGAGATTTTAATAACACAAACTTATTAAAAGCTTACATCCACAGCCCTCTCAACTATTGTCTCAACTATCGCGCTTATCACAAGGGGCAGAAGATCTTTAAGGGACTTTGCACCTTGTAAAATACTTTGTTTTACAAAATCAAGTACTTCAGTTGAGCAAGACTTGAGCAACTCAAGTACATGAGCAAGGTATGCACCACAAACTTCTTCTGCCAAGCAATTCAAATCATGAATTATCTGCAATACAAAACCTTAGTTACATGCCGAATTTTAAATAAATGCTGTATGAAATATGCACACGCCAGTTAAATAACTAAGAGGGATCCAGGGAGGGCATGGACATAAAGAGTTGAGAAATAAAATTGAAAAAGTTAAAATCAGAAAATATAATAATAAATAAATAAATCTTATAATAAAAAATCACCTCCTGTAAGTATATTATCACTCTGATCACTTTACCAAATACTCATTAAGACAAAATTCAACCACTGTATAGAGCTGTAATCTGTGTACATATGAAACTGTTCTAAACTAAATCAATAATTAAAACATATAAAACAGGACACTTCCCCCCTTCTCCATTAGTTTAGAAGGTCTACATTCTTATCAAAACATGGGAAGAAGGGGAAGAGGAAATCTTCTATTTTAGTGGGAAATTTCTGTAAGACACAGAAATACTTCAAATAGCATAGACCCTTTTAGATCTCTAGCACACCCACAGACCTACCTCATCAAACATCTGTCTACAGTTCCTGTAAATTTCACTGAACCAAATTCAATGTCTTCCTATTCTTTCAAAGAAAAAAAGAAAAAAAGAAACAAAAAAAAACTGGCACTGAACCTAAAACCTGTCCTGACTAAGGGTCAAGAATTCCAGTACAATTTGTAAAAGTTGCTGACTTAGAGGAGAGCATGAAGAACAACACCAAAGCAGATAAAATTGCAAGCAGTAAACCATAATTAACTTCTCTCATTTAGAAGGCTTTAAAAATACTAGTGAAAAGAGAGCATACATACAAAGACAAAGTCATCTGAGGCAGAAGAAATAGCCCATTCGCATCCAGGACTGGGGCTTGAATTGCCAGCTTTTCGTGCAGCCAATCCAGCAGACAACCAACTAGAGTATCTACAGTGGTAAGACGGGCAAATATCTATACAATTTAGGGACTCAGTCAAATAGATAAACAGCCTAAGGTCATATTATAAATATATGTATAAAAATTCACATATGTACATGTATTTAAGATCTACTTATTTTATGTGTGCATACATAACAAGAAAAACTTGCCTGGAAAGAAGTTGCAAAGATAATCGTAGAAACTTGTCAGAGCAAGAAAGCACAAGAACATCATCACTCCAGCAGGAATGCAAGCACTTTAAAAGGGTAGCACTCTGCTTCAAGATTAGGTCTTGTGGCTTCTGTTCCTCAGATGACGTTTGTACAAGGCTAGCAACCACAAGGGCAGAATCTAAGGCCCCAGCTATCTCCTGAAATCTGATCCAAGAAAGATACATGTCATTCTTGTTTTCTAACAGTTACTAGTTACTTTTCAAGCCCAACCTTCCCACAGTCTCTCTCTCTCTCTCTCTCTCAAGAATAAATTGAGGGTAGAATGGAAAAATACAAAGCAAAACCAAAAGAAAATAGGATCCCCAATTTGAAATGAGCAGTATACAGAATGCATTTATCTACCTTAATGAGAAATAGACCCCAACATTCCACTGCTTCATAAAATCAGTATATGCAACCTCAGAACGAAACTTGAGCACTTCAGATCTTGATGGACAGTAACCTTGAGAAATAAGAACACATAAGTAGATTGATTTTGACTAGTTAACTCTAGACTTGTGAAATGATTTCAACTACCTTCTAAATAAGCCAAAAAATCCAAGCTTGCTTTGTAATTTTTCAAGAACTCTGTAGGCCTTCCAGGAGAAAACACTCCTGGTTTTCCTTTTTGGATGGTAGAGTGAATCTCTTTAAGGATAGAATTTGCAAGGAAGCTCGATACATGTAGGCCTGAGTTTTCTGCATGTGACATTGGAAAAGTTCATTTGAACAAAGCATAACTGGTACGTATCTGTCGTGCACAAGAAAACTCTTGTGCAAATTATCTAAACCAAAATGCAAGAACATTATAACTAACAGGAAATAAGCAAAAGCAATCATACCAGTTGATGAAATATCCAGTAAAAATTTACAATCTGCTACAATATATTGCTTGATTTTTTTATAGTCCTGTTCAAGTTCATCTCCAGATGCCCCAGAAACTCCAAGACTTTGTGGAATGACTTTTTGGATCAATGGTGCCACCACAGTGGAGCGGAATATATCTTCAGCATTCCTAGTATTATCAATGGCAGCATATGCACGCAAGCAATTGTATACTGCATGTGCATCCCTATGTTCAAGTCCATCTACAAGTGTGTGCCCAAGGCTTGAATCCAATAATGAACTAGCATTCTGTATCCTCTTCTCCATGTTCTCAATGAAAGGCATATTCTGTACTGCCATCACACAGAGAAGTACATAAGTTATCAAAACAACTTGCTAGGTACTTTATCACAGATGGACAATATAGCTTTCTTGTTAATAGTTTGCTCCACCTGAGCTTAGAGGATAAACACCATAACTTTAGTAATAAATCTTATAGAGTTATACTACAACTTATGGACAAAGCTGAGAACAAGCTAATCCAGGATCCAATTATTTTGAATCAATCCATTGATATAACGTTTTAAAACTTCAGAACTGTACTTCATAATATCAAGAAGCAGTGAAAACCAATCTATAGCATTCCTGGAGTTGATCCTCAAAACAAACACCTAAATAACATTTATACTATGAAGCAGAAGAATACAAAGAGAAAAAAAGCACACCCAACAAAATCAAAGAATGCATTCAAAGAAAACCACAACTTGAATGGGATAAAGTGAAACACTGGGAGATTCAATGTCAGAAAATGGGAGCAAATTCAGACCTGCGCATGAGCTATGTAGAACTTCAGTCTATTCATCTCGCTTGCAATTCGCTCAAGATGCATGCTTTGAGTTTCTCTCAGATTCGATCCCTTTTCAGTATGCTGAAATGAGACTCCATTGCTTAAATAACCATTGTCCGCATAATTAGCTATTCCATTTGCCAAATTAGTAGCCCCACTCGGCAATTCCTTGATCAATTTCTCCACCTATATTAAAGATTATATAATTCAATTGGATTAGATAGAAACTGAAGTAACTACACTAGCTTCAGTAGAAAGTTCAATTGAAGCTGAGATTCCCTATCCTCACCTTTGACACAACGTGGAAGGTATCGAGCAAGAGCTCTAGAACTTCCCGAGCCTCACCGGCATCGGCGCGCTGCTTGAGCCGCGAGTGAAGAGCGCTGAGCGAGCTCTCCACGGCTTCGCGGAAAGTGGAGATCTTGTGTCGGATCTCGAGCAAGGGGGCACGCATTCGGACAACGGCTGCGTCAACGTCGGTCAATTTGGTGCTGAGGCTGACGAAATCGGCATAGTCGCGGTTGATTAGGTCGACGAGGTCGCGTTGAAGAGAGGAGAGGTGTGACCTGAGCTCCGAACGGAGAGTGTCCAGTGGGACGAATGTGCGGAGGTCCGAAATGTACGTCTCGGCGTCGAAGTCCTCGGAGAGGAACAGCGGAGGGTTTAGCCATTGTGGGGGGTTAGCGTCCGTCGGATCCCCGAAGAGGTCGGTGGCGGAGCGCGGCGGAGCTCCTGGAGTCGATGATCGCTGAGGAGAGTGGAGATCTGTCATTCTTTCTGCAATCGACTCAAAAGTGAACGCAAGGACGTTAGATCTAACTGATAAACTGATGCATTTTTTATTATTTCTTTATTTTCTTTTTCTTTATAATTTGTTCTTTTCTTCAATGGACAATAGAGGAAAACTATTGGATGCATAATTTTAGAATACACTTTTAGAGTGAGATATAATTTGAATAATAAATTCATAATAATTTATCCTAATGTGGATAAACTATTTTTCGTCAATAAAATGTTGTTCATCTATTTTAATGTATTTTTTGGAGCTTATTATATAAGCTAAACATCACCTAAAAAAATATTTTTCTCAAAATAAATGTTAACAAACACATCAAATATTATTGATGAAAACGTCATACCATTATAACCAACTCTATAATTTTATGAATGTACTTACTGAGCAGTGAAATGGTTTAACAATTCATTAAAGCTACTTAATTTCACTGCTCGGTGAGTAGCTTTAATGAATTGTTAAACAATTTCACTGCTCGGTGAGTAGCTTAATTTAATTAATTGTTAAACAATTTCACTGCTCGGTGAGTAGTTTAATTTAATGAATTGTTAAACAATTTCACTACATAGTGAGTAGCTTAATTTAATGAATTGTTAAACAATTTCACTGCTGGGTGAGTAGTTTTAATGAATTATTAAACAATTTCACTGCTCGGTGAGTAGATTTATATATATTATATTTTAATTTATTTTGACATTATCCATTTATCTATTGAAATGAACTAGCTTATATTTTAAAATATATTTTGAAAGATCAAAACAATTATTATCATATATAATAAATTATAATGTCATGTATATGTTAAGCTTCTAGCAATTATCAATAGGATGCCGAATCCCACATTATATAGAATTTACTAGTCCAGTAGTCCATATACACAGTTTCTAGAAAGCTATTTTTAGAGACAACAGAAATCAGGTGTAGTTAAATATATTTATTTATGGAAGATGAATTTTCTAAAAATTCTATAGTGTTCAAATTATGTCCAAGGGTATAACTCAAGCAAATATTTTGTCTTTTTAAATGCGAAAAAAAATATATTTTAACGTTATTTTAATTTGAGATAATTGTGTTCTTTATTTAAATTAAAAAAAAATGCAAAAGAAAACATTTAAGAGAATGAAAGAATAAAAAAATTAATCAATAATAAACAAATACATCATGGCAAGATTTGCAGCCCAAACACAGCTCCTCCATTACCAATGGGCTTCTATTTTTTCTTTTTAGCAAAAAGAATATGTAGATTTAGCTTATGTATGCCAGTATAGTAGAACTACAAACAAGGGATTTGTGCCGCCATGTGTATGAACCAATCAACAAAAAAGTGAAAATCAAGAGATTTTCATCATTTCCATGCAACAGAGTCAATCTCATCTCTGGCAGATTTGTATAACTCCAGCTTATTGGCTATGGCTTCCCTCCTTGCCATAAGTGAAGGATCTTCATCAAGCATTTTACCCAGCTGCTCCTTCTGCACACATAAACACAAGTAAAGCAAAACACTCTCATCATTTGCTTCTTTTTTTTTTTTTTTTTTTTTTTGTAAATATATTCTTTCTAGCTTGCTTCCCTTGCTAAAACTTCCCTTCCATACTAAACATAGTTTGATGCCATGTTAACTCACAAAGAAAGATGACCATTTTACCAGAAATAACTGGCAACAGACAGTACTAGGTAACAAACAGACAGTAGCATCATCAAATATGATCATTTTCCTGAAATCCCTCACTCATCATCTTTGTTTGGTGGTTTTACCAACAGTAAAATCGTATTTGCATATACTCTAACTAGACAAAATGGCAGTTTTACCTCTCTCCTTCCAACTTCGGAATAGAACTTATTTAACAGTGATCTCTTAGCCTCACGAACTTGGCAATATACAACAGCCTTTGGAATAGTATTCTTTAAGGTGTCACAGACCATGTTAACATATGCGGAGACATTTGAACCTGGCCGGGGCATATCAAGAAAATCATTTTAGACAGTTTTATTTGCTCCAGAAAAGAAAGCCTTTTGATATTCAATACAGAAACATTTAGACAAAATTTTGCATGAGTGCATGACTTTCAATATAAAACATGAAGGCAAGCACAACCATTGATTATTAAACAATAGCAAATTGCAGCAATCATTCCCGGGTGAACTTTTAAAGTGCAGATAAATATTTTCAGTAATCTGAAAATAAACTGTGGGTTGAAAGTTAACGTCTCACCAATTCTCCTTAGATGATGATCTGTGTAGCGATCTGTATTTGAACTATTTTGGTTTGTGCTTGGATTTTTCTCTGGTTCTGATTGAAGCTTCCTGAAATACTCCACAGTCAGGTAGGAAGATTCCATTTCCACCAGTCTTATAACTGTCTTACGACTTTCATCACGAAACCTCTCAAGTGCATCATTTGCGGCAGCAGCTATATCAGATTGAAGTGTGGGGAATCGCTTCAAATCCTACATGACCATAAACTGGATTAAAGGAAATAAAATATTTTCCACTCGAAGCATTCAAAAACAAAAAGAATTCCCGTTACCTCTGTTTCTACAATGGACTTCCTCACCAATTCTTTAAGAATGAAATGCACCTTAAAATACACAAATGGTAAAGAAATTAAAGTCCACTTCAAATTTAGATAATTGAACTTTCACCCAATATCCATAATCCATTATGCAATGGTAAAAAGCACAATTTGCATATAAAGCACAGCGAATAAGAATAAATCAACTATGGAAGGATAAGAATCCTACTGCATCAACAGAAGCTTCAGCAGGGCCCTTGAAGTATCCAAGAGATCCATCAATCAATCTCCTGTATCCTTGTTCAGGAGCAATCAGGTGAGGCTGATAACCATCTGCCTCACTAATGACTTTCTTAACATTATTCAATGACAGGTGGCGATCTAGCGGAAGTTTTTTCATTGCAGATGGAAGCTGATTGTCAAAAACGCCATATATCCTATCACCACCTGGCCTCCTGAGACAATTTTGATCCTCATTATATACTTGAAAATTAAATGAAGTCAAATAACCAAATGAGCTACCATAGTGGACCTAACATAAATATTTTAGTTAGTTGTGGTCAACTGAAGCAACTTTAAAAAGTCATATGATGTTAATAGGTTATCACAGAATATATTTTAGGTTTCAGATTTAGGTTTTACTTTGAGTTGAACAAGCTGCCTGTTCAGACTACTTATATATTTAAAATCAAGCATTTTGAGTACTTTTCAATCAATCAGTCAAAACAATATTCAAACTTTGAGAAAAATGAAGGAAAATGTGTAATACCCTCCATCTAGGTGTTCTCTAAATATGCGATCAAATGCACGACACATTTGCAAAATTGTATACAGCTGTGCCTGCAAACAGAAACAAGCTTGTAGCTTATTCAAAGAAGATCCCTGCCCAAAACTGGGCTTACTTTGGTAAAATAACTGATATTCTGGATTTTGTGTCTGTTACCCCTCCATCTACACCAATAGGCCTTCCAATACGATCTAACTCTGCATTAAGCTCATCAATAGTCTTATTTATTAATGCAATGATACCTGGTATGCGCTGCCTAATGACAACCTCCAAATGCTAAACATCATGAAGAGTAAAATTTCGATGTAAGTATTCCAGAAAACATCATTATATATAGCCTAAGAATAGAACTTAACAATAAAAAATCTAAATTTAGGAGAGGAACCTGTGAGAGAAGTTTTGCAAGATACTCGGAACCCATTTTATGTGCCAGATGTCCATATTCAGGACTAGATTCAAAATACTCTTGTTCCTTACGACGGGCATACATCATGTCAACATTCCTATTGATATCAGCCTGTGAACGATTCATGATTCCAACCCATGGATGTTGGAGCCTGTATGATCTACCTTCAAGTACCTTTAAAAAAACATAAACAAATAAGGAACACAAGAGAAAAAACATTGCTAATATGAAGAAATCAAAAAATATTGATGTGGCAATGATCATATCAATAAATGATTATCTCATCTGACAAGAGAATAGCCTTAAAACTTCTATGGATCATACATCTAAGGCATTTGTTCCTTGATCCATCAGATCTAGTTTAGTTAACACTCCAAATGTCCTTTCTCCTGGAAAATAAAACACATAAATATTAGAATTCTAAATAAATATTAGACTAGAAGGAAATTCAAAATGGCACAGTGAGAATAAAAGAATATATTAATCTATTATGTTATGGAAAGATATTGTACCCGAAGGATCAACTTCTCTTGCAAGCTTTATAGCATCAGAAGTTGCAATGTCTTGGTTGGCTGGAGAAATAGCCAAAATGATGCAATTGGGCTAGGGAGAGAGATATATATAAACAAGGAGATACAGTTTAGACAATTTGTTACTATCCCCCAAAGGAAGAAAGAAGTAAAGGGCAATACATCTTTTGCTATTTGAATAGGGGAAGATGCAAAACCATGTCTTAACAGAATCAACTAGTGATAAACAGTGTTGCATTCTCCCCTTGACATGACAAGGAACAAAGTGACAAAAAACAAATAAGACTTTGTGATAAGTGAAACAAAAGATCAAGATGCACACAGGATTCTATTTTGAAACTAATACATGTGAAGATATAGAATGAATGAAATACGGAGTAACTATTTATCCATATCAAGATTTATTGATATTGCAGTATCTGGTAAATGATCACTTTACCAGGAAGATTTTCTAGGAATTAGCATCAGCTGATTTATATGGATTCTTGGCTGTTAGGGGTTCCTAATTTTGTGCTTGGGATGTGTTATGGAATGTATACGTATTATGAAATGTATATATTATATTAGGAAGCCTGGAGATTTATAGGAATTGGAGTAGGCAGTCGTATGGAAACTTGTTTCTTTATTTGATGTCTTCTAGCATGTATTTATAGGGTTGTGTATTCTCTTTTCTAATGTACAACTTATTCAGAAACTCTTCTCTTTACTACCATAACAGGATGTGTATCTTTGGCTATAAAATACATAGTTGACACACATCTTAAGCGTTATCATATCTCTCTTGATTTCAAGAGGGTCTCTAATATGAGCATTCTGCAATATCCATTAAGGTCTTAAACTAAATAATGGAAAGGATAATGGCTAGAAACTTTTCCAGGGAATTTGTAATTTGTACTCACAATACTGGTGAGAGCTGAGGATATCCTCAATCTTTCTGACCATAAAAAGATTGTCCTCCTAAGAGTTCTTAAGACATTCTAAGGTTGCTCATAAGAACACTATGAACAGATCAGTATGACCATGGTTTAACACTTCCATAATATAGTTCAAATGCAAAACCTCAATTCACCTCCTATAACTTGCTTTCTCACTTATTTGTGTCCTAAATGACATTCATTCTACATATTGCCACTATTGGAGCTACCATCATTAGACTTATAAACTTTTATGCATTTCTTCATAATATTTCACAAGCTTATTGGGCAGAACATTACCAGTTTATGCAACATGAAATCTTTATTTTTGAAACTAATTTGAATTTTAAAAAGTTACACATTTTGGGTTCACCTATCCTCACAATGTGAAAATCAACAGAGCAAAATTGCAGCTCTTACAAATGCACCTGAAAATAGTTGTCTAGATTGTTTCCAGTCTACTGAAGCTAGAAACTCTCAATACCTTCTCCACATAGGAACGAACCATCCCTTCAATATCCTCTACAATACTGTCTGGCTGCCCCTCTGAGATTTAAGAAATATGGTGTTCCAATGTCAGCTATAGTTAACATAACGTACCACTCAATGAAGACAAATTTATTATTTTACTGCAACTAAGGAAAACTAATGATTCAGTGCTCACCTACAGCAACCTTCGTCAATCCAGGAAGATCAATCAGGGTTAAGTTTACCACTGCAAAACAAAAACCCATTTCATAGTGATGCATCCTAGAGGGGATTTAAAAGTTTTGTGCTTGAGGAAAATGTACATAAATGATTAAAAGATATATGAGAAATCCAGTAATAGGTAGGAAAAAATAGCCAGTGAATTACAAAGAGTTACCCTTAGACAAATTATTTTCTTAAACAGAGAGAGACAGAGAGAGAGAGAGAGAGAGAGAAGAAGAAGAAGAAGAAGAAAAAATAGCCAGTGAATTACAAAGAGTTACCCTTAGACAAATTATTTTCTTAAACAGAGAGAGAGAGAGAGAGAGAGAGAGAGAGAGAGAGAGAGAGAGAGAGAGAGAGAGAGAGAGAGAGAGAGAGAGAAGAAGAAGAAGAAGAAGAAGAAGAAGAAGAAGAAATGTTAAAAGAGTCTGCCACAGTGATCTTTTTTTTTTTTTTTTAACATGCCAATACAAACCATTAGGAGAATAAATGCTCAGGTGAATTGGGACATTTGAGATTTGTTTTGACTTCCCTGTAATGCGATCTGTCTCATCTGCAATCTCTTGCCTCACAGTAGCTGCATTGTCATTAAAGAATTATTAATATAAAAGCATACAAGATATGAGTCAGATGAATTTGATTGTCTTTGATGATAAATGAGTAACCAAAAATAAAATAAAATCAATTCATTAACCAGATCAAAGTTATTTTCTGGTAAACTACATATGCTCGATTGTAAACCTAGGGACAAAGGAAATTCTTTCAGGTATCATTTAGAATTTCAAGATATTTGATTTTGTCCGTAGCTTGCTTGAGGCATATACCTCAAATCAGAATAAAGAAATAAATAAAATTACTCGAGAAAAGGAGAGAAATATATTATGGAGTACTCTTCAATTTCTACTTACCAAACTCAGAAAATCTTCTTTTAGGAGCATGAAGAAACTCTGCATATTCAGCCCCTCCCTCAGTCTTATGGAGTTGCAGCACCAATGGCCTCCTTGTAACAATGCCTTTGCAGACAAAAAAAACTTAGCACACTAGGAAAGCCATGGCTCACAATTGGTATTCCTATGGAGATTTACTTCAACAGCATTGAACATTACAATGATGAGCATTCACTAAAAAAAGACAAGTGCTCAACAAGCTTAATGATCTGTGGCCAATGATATAATTTCCCTTCTTCACAGACTGTTACTCATAATTAGATTAAAAAAAAAAAAGCAAGCAAGCTAATTTGAAATAACTAGAATTGATAACCCAAATAGAACTAGGAGGAACAACTTTGGCTAATAGCTTCAGTTGCTATTAAGCCATTTCAAATTTCAATAACTTGTTTGCATAAATTATGACTAAAATAAATTTTGTATTGCAATTTGCTGTAAAAGGAAATATACTGTAGCTTATTTTTACCTATGGAGCTTGAGCTCAATATTCAGCATCCTAATGTGCATCACAATTGAACTAAATGCTCTATCAATTTCTGAACTGAATAGTCGAACTCATCGCATACAGATTGGCGGAGCAAAATTGACTGAAAATATAATTACCCGATCCACGAGGTAGAAAATCTCTCCCCACAACGCTTTCCAGCACTGATGATTTCCCCGAACTCTGATCAATTCACCAACAACAAACACAAATTGAGAAAAGAAACTGGCGTAGGAACGGAAATGCCGTAGAAGAAAAAGTGGAGATGCAGGGACCTGGCCTCCAACGACGGCGACTGAAGGAAGGGCTTCCCAGAGGGAGCCTTCGCCGCCGTGATCTCCCAAGACAGTGCAGGCTCGTTGGATTCTGTTCACCAGTCCGATCAGGCTCTCCATTCTCGCCATTGTTGTAAAGTACGCAGTGACGAAGATTTGGAAGATGAAAAATGGAATTCTAATTCTAATGGGCTAATAGAATTTTGTCAAGGAAGATGATGCGATTCGGCGCGGAGGAAACTGAAAAAACGGTTAGTCGTTGTCACGCTACCTTCTTTAGATTTTTCCTATCATAGTTTTATTTATTTATTTTTAACTTTACAAGAAATATCTATTTTATATTTTCTCTATTTGTTTAACTCAAAGAATTAATGCTCCTATTTCTAAAGATCATTTTTATAATCACTCATTTAAAATGATAACAATGTGTATCGCATTATGAGAACTGAACTCGTAACTTAACGATTGACTATGGGGGCACGCTCTAATGTGAACGGCTGCCCAGGAGAGAAATAAGAACGTCCACGTGTCCAGATCAACGAATTAGATGTAATTTTAGCCTACTTCTATTGTCTGTTTGGAGCTGATTTCGAATAGTTTTGAGTTTTAATTTGGATTTCTATCAAATTTTATGGGGTTATAGTTGAATTTTGTTGAATTTTGGAGGTTTTGTCTACAAATGCTCTGATATGTGTTTCTTCTTGCTAATATGGATGTGGAATAAGTACTATGGGAGAGGAGACAAATGAAGAAATATATGTAGTTATGGAAACTTTGGCAAACAGATTTGAGAAGAGGACTAGAACTTTATTTTAGGAGTGGAGGTTATGTCTACCACTACTAAGATCTAAATAGGAAGAATTAAACTTGAGCTGGGATAAGGAAAAATGCTATGAAAGAAATCTTTGAATTACATTTTGAGTAAATTTATTTGGGTTATCTTTTGGAAAGTTTTTTGACATACCTGAAATTTTTGAATAATATCTTATATATTTAGGGGTTCAAAAACTAGCCTGTATACAAGAGAACAGTAACTTTTTCCGAACTGAACTGCAGAAAATGAGATTTGAGGTCTTGGGAGATGACGATTCACCTGTAATGCACATAATGCTCTACAATCCAGCAAAAATACTTGCTTTTTCACGGGAGTGAGGTAAGCTTTATTCTCTCCTATTAAATAGTAATATGAAGCCTTTAGTTTTTAATTTTTAGTTTCCAGTTCGCTCTGCTTTGAATCAACCTTTACTAACCTTTAATTTACATATAGGTGGCTGTGGTTACAGTTGCTTTTCTAGCAACTCCTCAACTATTAGCCAGAGAACGAATATGCATTTTTGCTGCTCACACAAGGGAAGACCTTCTCAAAGCATTGGAGGTTACAATTACGCCTCTTTATTACTTCTATAATCAATAACGGTTTTGGTCAGTGGAATTTACTGCTCGAGTTCAAAATTTGAGAAGATTGGTCCCCCAACTATTTGAAAAAATATATAATTGTACATAAATGGCTCCCCTGACCAAGCAATGAAAATTTTGCAAAAATGGTTGCCAAATTATTGACATTTGAGAGAAATTGGCATTCCATTACTATGATGATGAATAGTTAGAGTATAGTTCTCCAAATTGGAATTGAGGGAGTAAAATTAGAATAAGCAGAGTGTGGGTAATAAACCTGGAACCACATGCATTCTTGTTTTCATATTGATGAGTAAGTTGTGTTATTGTGACAGGTTATCAGCATAGTTGGTGATATGGCATAAAATACTTTCCTGCTCACTCCTATAAACAACACTTGGAAGAAAACAGAGTTAAGCTGGACTGAATTATTATATGTGAGTGTAGTTTCCCAATGTTGTATGTTTTGCTTCAATTGGGTATTGAAATCTAAAAGGAGTCCAAAAATTGTGTCTAGTGTGAATGCTTACTGTAAGATGTACATATATTGTCATTAAAAGAAATGCTGATTGTCAAAATCTAAAGCTCATGCATGTGTTGCCTTTTGCTTGTTTCATATCAATTAAAAGTTGAGTTTGATTATTGTCAATACCCTTTTGTGTCAAATCTATCACACATGGTCTTTTTAGTACGGTTTACATCACGCATATAGTTTTTGAACTATTATATAGGACTGAGGTTTACTCAATGCTTATCTTCATGTCAGATTTTCTTCGTCATTCAAAAAAAAAAAAAAAGTTTAAGTTGATAGTTGGCTGACGGAATTGACTTCGTTAGTCTTGATTTTTTCTTGGTGATTTAGCTTGGTACGCAATGAGCAAAAGTATGTTGCTTTTAGACTAAACTTGAACTTTTTTTTTTTTTTTTTTCTGTTACAATTCCAATTGGAAGTTATCCCTTAGGCATTCCTATTACCTTCTTCCATAGTTATTATTTGTCGGTCTGCATTCGGTTTACTAAATCACTTTAATCAAAATTTTTATTAAAGCTTTAATCATTAACCGGATTAAACTTTGTATTACCGAATTAACCGAGTGATTTTTTATTTAATCAGTCGGTTAATCGATTAATCGAAATTTTTTTAACTACATTTTTAAATCATTACAATAATACCTATAATAATAAATCCAACTACTTCAATACCTATAATAACAAATTCATAACTTCAATACAAAATCTAAAGTCCAAATATCCATAATCCATGGGGATTTCATTTTAATTTTAGGGATTTCACATTATATTTTTATTTATTTATTTATGTATTTAAAATTTCAGTTAATCATTTGATTAATTCGGTTAATAAATCTTATTTTCTTAGAATTCAAGGAATAAAACTGTCATATTTCTTATGTAAAATTATAAATATATAAGATTTATACTTCGTAATAATGATGATATAATTATAAATATATAATAAAAAGAGTTACTTCCCGAAATGGTCCCTTGACTATAGCGAAATTACCAATTTGGTCCTTGACTATTTTTGTTGACCAATTAAGTCTCTCAACTTTAAAAATCTTAACCAATTTGGTCCTCCGTTTGTTTGACCGTTAGTCAACCATTAACTTGGGACCAAATTGGTAATTCGCTATAGTCGAGGACCATTTTGGTAATTAACTTTAAGGGTGGGCAATTCGGTTCAGTTTTCTCGAACCGAACCATATCAAACTAGTTAGATTCGGTAATACCGAACAACAGAACGGTAATAGATTCTTGTATACCGAACGGTTCGGTAAAAACTCGAATCGAACTGAATTGTTCGGTAAAAACTGAACCGAACCGAATACCGTTTGAACTTTGAATTGCTATTTTGTTATATATTAGACTTTGGATACGGACTATATAAACACCATAACACATAATATAGAACTTTTGATAACAAACCATAAAGAAATCAAATAAAACATTTACGAGAGATACCCGTGAGAATATGAGCTAAACGGCAGAGCAAGCAGCAAGTGACTTGGATTTACTTTTTATTTATTTATTTATTTATTATTATTATATTGTTTTAAAAAAATCAAACGGTATTCGGTTTAGTTCAATTTTTTACCGAACAATTCGGATGAATTTTTTATCGAATCATTCGGTATACAAGAATCCAATATCGTTCGGTTATTCAGTATATTACCGAACCAAACTAGTTCGATTCGATTTGGTACGGTTCGGTTCGAGAAAATTGAACTGAATTGCCCACCCCTAAAGTTAATTATCAAAATGGTCCCTTGACTATAGCGAAATTACCAATTTGGTTCCAAGTTAACGGTTGACTAACGGTCAAACAAACGGAGGACCAAATTGGTTAAGATTTTTAAAGTTGAGGGACTTAATTGGTTAAAAAAATAGTCAAGGACCAAATTGGTAATTTTGCTATAGTCAAGGGACCATTTCGGTAATTAACTCTAATAAACATTTTCTAACAATAAATATATAATGTACTAGTATATATTTGTGTCTTGAAACTGCATGAAAAATTTTAAGGTATTGATGGACACTCATAACTTTTATATCAGATACTATATACATAATATATAATTACGATTAAATAAGAACTAAGCTTCTCGTAAGAACTATGGACTAATTTGATTCATCCATCTAAGATGATCAATAGCTAAAAAATAAGAGAGAAAAAAAGTAAGGTCAGTTGAGAGGGCTCTCAAGTGTGGAGTTTGGAATTCTCGTGATTTACCTATCAAACTTAACGTAATATAGAATATAATTTCAAACTAAAATTAAATACTACAAAGGCAATTTAAGTGGAATTAGACCGCTCCTCTCCATGAATGGTAACTAGAGAATATGAGTAATACCACGATAAAGGAATAATATCCTTGCCTATAGTTTATTTAACATGGCATTCATTTTTTTTAATGAGAAATCTAGTTAATTAAAATTATTAAAGAAATACTACATTTACTCTTACTTTTTATACTTCTCTTTTTATTCCTTGCTTATATATGTAGCACAGTATGATCAAATTTTAGATATAACTAATTTGCACCGTCAAGGGGTGTTAGAAATTTGCACCATCAAGAGGTGTCAGAAGTTTGCACCGTCAAGGGGTATAAGAAGTTTGCACCGTCAAGGGGCCAGTGTTAGAAAGTTGCACCGTCAAGGGGTGTCAGAAGTTTGCACCGTCAAATGGTGTAAGAAGACTTACAAAGACTCACCGTCAAGGGAAGTCTAAAAATGTTTGTAAGTATATCATTATTGTGGGGAAGACTTCTGACGTGAGCTTCACTTCATAGACTAAAAAGTTTATTCTAATATACAAGATAGCAATGTTTTGTACCTTTGGCAGTTGGCACACCTAATGGGGTATATATAAGAAGACTTAGAGAGAAGTCTTTGATTGTGAATAGTTTAGAGCTGAGAAAGACACTTGATATATATATATACATCATAGAGGGGTAAAAATAGATTGAGACAAGTCTCCAATGGCAAGAAAAGGTAGTCCACCTAATATATAGAAAGTTTGGTTACAAATAGTAAATTTTGAAAGTTCATGTAGTAATTTTTTATTATATGTATGATGGTAATAAAAAAATTCTAGTGCATTTGTATAAGGAGATTGGTAGAATTTCAAAGTTACATATATATGCATATGTAGAGAGTATATATAAGAAGTATATGTTTCGCCATATTGATCAAATACAAAAGTTATGTTTACTAAAATTTGCAGACTGTATAATTCACTACATACGCATTTTTAGAGTGTATATTATTTCTCAAGTCATAGTGGACAATAGCCTTTACAGACTGAGGAGATATATGTATGGCTATTGTATATAGTATCACAACCACTTTGGTTATGCACATATACTAGGACACATACAATTCAATGATATTAGATATTTACCTCCAAATCAAAAAATAATTTTAATGAGGAAAACATTTAGTTTAAATTTTAAAAGTATTATTGTATTATTCATTCTAAGTAACAATTGGTCTTGGGTAATATGGTTTCACATATATCTATAATACTTTTTAACAATAATGTAATACTTTTTTTTTCTATAGATTCATAATATATAAAATATTTTATTTATGTTAAAAAGTATTACACATGTCGTATCTTCAAAAAAAAAAAAAAGTATTACACAATACACATGTTATATGTGGCGATTTTGTGTTATTTCCTATCGCGATAGACATCCATCTAATACTAATCAATTTAAATAACTCAAATTTTGGGTATAATTAATTTTCATTGTCAAGGGATAAGAAGACCTACAAAGTCTTCGTCAGCAAGTTTGTAAGTATATCATTATTGTAGGGGAGCATCACTTAAGATGTATCAAAGACAAAAACTATAATTCTCAACCAAGTTGAGATTATAAGATAGTGCTGTTTTGGACTTTTGCACTTTAATTTTCCCTTTGATACACTCTAAAGTGGCGTATAAGAAGACTTAGAGACAAGTCTTCCATGACAATTAATTTAAAAGATAGATTCACATTATTATTATTATTATTATTATTATTATTATTATTATTATTATTATTATTATTATTATTTGAAGTTTGATAAAACTAACGAATGTAGTTTGATTTATAATTATTGAATAATAAATACACAATAAAAATTATTAACCCCTAAAACTTCAATACAGTTAATTTTTTTTTAATGCTACTACAATGTAGTATCTGTTCATATACTTTCTCAACCTACTGAAACACAAAGAACCAATAACACCTCCATTGAGGCTTGAATTTACAACCTTCCAAATGGAAGTCCAACCCAGATAACATTATACCATATAGTCTTGGTTCTGTACAGTTAATAATTACATGTAAATCAAATTATTTTTGTGCCAACACCGAGGTAAAATCCAAGCTGCTAGGAATATGCTGTTGAGCGATTTAGAAAGAAAGTATATATATTCTTAGGTTATCGCAGGTGATAAAAAGTTAGTTGAAAGTTGATAAGTTAGTAGATTATTGAATTAGAAAGGGTTACACTTTTGTGCAACTGTTATACCATGCACCACGGGACACATAGCACTGTGCGCTCCGTGCTTCCTAAAACGACGTCGTTTTGTTAAGTTGTTAAAAAAATCATCTGTTTCGAATGCACATAAACTCATAATAGAATATACATAAACTCATAACAGAATACACATAATCTAACATAATACATAATACACATAAACTCTTAACATAATACGCAAACTCTTAACATAATACACATAAACTATAACATAATACACATAAACTCTTAACAGAATATACATAAACTTTTAACATAATACATATAAACTCTTAACTGAATACACATAAACTCATAACACGATACACATAAATTTTTAATTGAATACACATAATGGGGTTTGGTTAATATAATACATGTAAACTCTTAACTGAATACACATAAACTCATAACGCAATACACATAAACTTTTAACTGAATACACATAATGAAGTTCGATCTCTTCGGATGGACGGAGTGACGTCAGCAAGAAACGCACGCGTTTTGTGTTTGGGCGCACATTGCTATGTGCGCCGTGGTGCACGGTATAAATTGCCCTTTTGTGAGAACATCTAACAGATCCTTATTTATGAACGGGTTGGGTCGAGATGTAATACTTTTGAAAATTGTAATACTAATTAAAAGTAAACTGTTTATTATTTAAAAGGAAAAGTGTAATACTTTTATATTTTGATATAAAAATACTATATTTTTCATCAAAAGTATTAGTACATTTTTTTATAAGTAATATTGAAATGTGTTTTGTTTCTTTTGAAGAAAAATGTAATACTTTTAAATAAAAATGTAAAAGTTTTTTTAAAAAAATAAAAATAAAAATGTAAAAGTATTAAACCTTTTCATATACATAATAAATATTTTATTCTGATTAATATAAATATTACATCACATGATAATTTGAATATTACACCACTAATAATTCATGGATGACATTGATAATTGACATATTATAAAGGAACTTGCAGAAATAAAAGTCATTGCATATGCATTTGTAGAGTGTAAATTATTTCTCTGTCATAGCGGACAAAAATGACGAAAGAAATATATGTATCATGTATGGCTAATGTATCACAAGCAATTTGGTTATATGCATACAGGAGGACACATACAATTCAATGATATTTAATATTTACTTCCAAATCAAAAAACTTCACAAGCAAAACATTTAGCTTAAATTTCAATAGCTTAAAACATCCTCTAATATTAATCAACTTAAATGATTCGAATTTCAGATATAAATAAATTTCACCATCAAGGGATAAGAAGACTTACAAAGTCTTGGGCTACTACAATTGAGACATTCGATCAAAAATTAAGTTTGTAATTATATCATTACTGTGGCCTGGGGAGAATCAATTAAGATGTGTTAGAGACAAAAACTTCAATTTCTGGCCAAGTTCACTCCGGGAAATTATAGAATTTCCGACCACCTGAAGTGATCTTAAATTAAGTTGAAAGTAAAAAATGTTCGGAAATAGCAACAAAGGTTTTTTTGGATACCAAAAGTGGTTAGAACAAGGCTTTCAACTTGATTTAAGATAATTTTTAGATGGTCGGAAATTCCATAATTTCCAGTAGTAGTTGATAAACAAGATAATAATGCTTTGAGTCTTAGAGACAAATCTTTGATGGCGACTAATTTAAAAAGAGGATTTAGCATAAGAAGTGTGAAGCCTAACATAGTCTCCTTCTATATATACTGCTCCCATAAACAAAACTCAAAGCACTTGCCAAAGATTATTATATTCACTGCATTCAACCCATCCACCATGAAACATAATACTTATAATAATATTATGGTGCTGCTTGTTTTTCTTCTATTCATTTGCAAATTTGAGTATTGTTACTCAAATAATGGTAGCTGCATTGAAGTGGAACGAATTGCTCTTCTCAGGTTCAAGGAGAGCCTAATCGATACATCAAACCGTCTCTCCTCATGGACCGGTCTTGATTGTTGTGCATGGAAAGGAGTTTCTTGTGGCTCTGTAACTGGTCATGTTTGGAAGCTTGACTTACATAACCTAGTTACACCTACAGTTACATATGATGAAGATGATGATGATGAAGATGATGATGATGATGATTTGTCCAGAGTTATGTCAAACTATAGCAACAACTGCTTGAGAGGTGAGATTAGTCATTCTCTAATCAACTTGACATATTTGAATTATCTTGATTTAAGTTGGAACAATTTCTCTGGAATTCAAATTCCTAAATTCTTGGGTTCTTTAAAAAACTTGAGGTATCTTAACCTCTCAATCTCTGGTTTTGTGGGAAATATTCCCCCACATCTTGGGAATCTTTCGAGGCTAGAATATCTCGACCTTGGAAACGGTGATGGTGTCCATCATTTGTGGATTGTAACTAATGACTTGGTTACAAATAACTTGGATTGGTTGGCCAGCCTTTCTTCCCTAAAAAGCCTTTACATGTCTTCCATTCCCATTCAACAAAGTGAAAATTTGTTTGGTACAATCAATAAACTTGTATCTCTCTCTTATTTAAACTTGGCTTTCTGTGGCCTTGAAATTACCAATCCTCCTTCTTCACATGTTAATTCCACTTCTCTCATCTCCCTGGATCTCAGTGACAATGCATGGGATGCCATGGCCTTTGTATGGTTATCTAATCTCACAAGACTTGAGAATCTCAATCTACATTATATTCACAATTTAGCTTTTAGCTTCAATTCTTCACAGTTTATTCCATTTTGTAAGCTCCTCAATTTGGTTTCCATGGATCTCAGTGTTAATCATATTCAAGGTCTGATTCCCCATTGTTTTGGAAATTTGACTTCTTTAACCTCTCTTAACTTAGCAAGCAATAGGTTGGAAGGTTCAATTCCAAATAGCATAAGTCGTGGTCTTTGTAGATTGCAAAGTCTAGATTTATCTGAAAATGAACTAAGCGGGTCGTTGACGGATTCCTTAGGAGCTTCATCTGAGTGCCTTTCATATAGTTTGCAATTGTTATTCTTAAATGGAAACTATTTTACTGGTCAACTACCAAATCAGTTATACATGTATAAAAATTTGAATAGACTTTATCTCTATTCAAATTCCCTCTCTGGTCTCATATCAGATTCACTTGGAAATTTGTCAATGTTGTCTCGGTTAGATATTTCTAACAACAAGTTCAGTGGTAGCATTCCTTCACTTGGAAACTTGTCAATGTTGTCTCGGTTAGATATTTCTAACAACAAGTTCAGTGGTAGCATTCCCACAAGTCTTGGACAACTTTCAAACCTTGTCGAGTTAGAGATATTCAATAATTCCTTCCAGGGCATTCTCTTTGAATCACATTTTTCAAAACTTACCAATCTCAGAGTGTTAGATATATCTGAAAATTCATTATTTCTTGATGTAAGCTCCAACTGGATTCCTCCTTTTCAATTGGAACACATTGAAATGTATTCAATCAAAGTTGGCCCTCACTTTCCACAATGGCTTCGTACCCAAACAAAACTTCATTCCCTATCCATGTCCAATGCAAGCATCTCAGATGCTATCCCTGATTGGTTTGGAAATTTCTTCTGGACTTGCAGTTATATTGATCTCTCTAAAAATAATATTAGAGGAGAACTCCCCATGAGTGTTGAAGTTGGTTACATTGGATTTGATTACTTCTGTAGATTCAAGTTTTCAAGCAATCATTTGACTGGTGAAATTCCCAAGTGGTTATGCAATTTAAAATATTTAATGGTCCTTGATATTTCTTCAAATAAGTTGTCTGGAGAAATACCTTCGTGCTTTGGAAAACTACAAGAGTTGGAATATTTAGATTTGGGGAATAACCATTTACATGGCCACATTCCAAATTCATTGGGATCTCTCAGTAGCCTCCGCTCTCTGCACTTGCAGAACAACAAATTTGAAGGGGGACTCCCTTCAAGCTTCCAAAATTTAGGAAGCTTGTACACCTTAGATTTAAGTGAAAATGGATTAATGGATGTTATTCCCCCTTGGATCGGAGAAAACCTAGCAAGTCTGATGTTTCTTAATTTTCAGAAAAATAAATTCTTTGGAGATATTCCATTGCAATTGTGTTACTTGAAGGGTCTTCAGTTGTTGAACTTGGCAAATAACAATATATCTGGGCCTATCCCTCGGTGTTTCAACAACATCACTACAATGGTCAGCGACTTAGATTACTCTGATTATGCATTCCATGTAATTTTTGAGGAAAACAGTGATGAAGATATAAAAGGATTGGAATTGGAGTATACTACAAACCTTGAATTTCTTAAATCCATTGACCTTTCAGGGAATCAAATCACTGGAGAGATCCCAATAGAAGTGATGAGTTTGCATGCATTGAATAATCTAAATCTTTCTAGAAATAATCTGAGTGGGAATATCCCTCATACAATTGGCAATCTGAGCAAAATTGAATCTCTTGATTTGTCAATGAATGCACTCTCCGGTCCCATTCCTCAAAGCTTATCATCATTGAATTTTTTGAGCTATCTGAATCTGTCATTTAACAAGTTGTACGGAAGAATACCAACCGGGCCTCAACTCCAGACCCTCGATAATCCATCCATTTATATTGGGAACGAAGGACTTTGTGGTGTCCCGCTTTTGAAGAGTTGTCCTGGTGATGATAAACCGTCATTTGTTAAGCAGCCTACAGAAACCAAATTAACCAATGATGATCATGAATTTTTGATGTGGTTCTACGCCGGTTTGGGACCTGGTTTCTTTGTTGGATTCATTGGAGTACTATGTACTCTACTGTTCAAGAGATCTTGGCGCTATGCATATTTCAAATGTCTGGAGATCACTTTCAACAAAGTGTTTTGTTGCATTTCAATTAAACGGAACAGGTTAGTCTTCCATCAAATGCTATTTTTAGTCCATAGAATTCAATGATTACATATACGAATTCAAATGCTATTTTATATGCTCTATTTATGTTACTCTTTTTTTTTTTTTAATAACATATTTTGCAGGCGTTGATGGCATTGGGGGTTTCCTTTGCGATAAACGAACTTGTTGCTTATGTATGTACTTCTGGCAATATATGTTGCAGTAGCAATATGATCGATGCTTTAGTTTGTTTTTTGTAATAATTTGTTTGCCATATATTGGATTCAATCTGTTCTCAACAGATTTGTTGGTTAGTGTTTGTCTTAAACCATGTCATTTATAATTATAATTGATTTGATATTATGATGTTGTTTTTATAAAGAGGTGTTTGATAAATGGTGTATCTGTTAATTTTTCACAAATTTATTTAACTTTAAATTAGTCGTCGCCAGACCAGAGAGGAAGGCTTCTAATCCGTTTCTCTTGAATTACTAGAAATGAACTGGATAATTATTTATGCCGGACCACTGAGAGGGTGTTGATAGAATTTTGTAAACAATGGAAATGGCATTAGAGAGAAAAATAAGATTTTTCAAACTCATGGAAGTAAATAGCATTCTTGCCATTTAATTTGAATTTAAAATTCAAATTCATAATCCAATTTAATCTTAAATTAGCACCATTTAAAACAATTAAAAACATTAGCTTGTCCGATTTTTCAGACTTTAATATAAAATTAACCAGGCCAGTTAAAAATATTAGTTTCATATTTGGGTATTCTATTTTCTCCTTCCTTTACGTACTCCGGTCTTCTCTCAGTTAATTTTGAGTACAGTGGATGAAAGAGCATTCCGAGTGCTTCAATATTTAATTTTGAGTACAGTGTACGACGTGTCTCAATTTTTTATTTTTTTTCCTTTACTATGTTCTGTTCTACATTACTATACAGACTGCAATATAATCCTTGATACCTTAAAGCTTAATGCATATGTAATTTTTCCATTCTCCCAAAATCTTTCTTTTTATTATTCTTGTCTAAACTCATTTCCTTTTCCAAGATAAATCTTCAATTTTGATCATATTAACAAACTTTAATTTAGAAGGTAACAGTCTGTAAATTCAAATCACAGTGAAGACCGGTGGAGTACGTAAAGAAAGGAGACCAAGAGAAGACCTAAATATGAAATGATTATATTATCCTTGTACTTAACACTCTTTTGATGGATTAACAAACAGAGGACAATATTGAGCGATAACACAAAAGTCTGGGACTATCTTATGACACTAAAGTCGTTTAGGACAAAATTAAGAAAATCCAGTATAATCGAGTACAATTTTGGGTATTAACTCTTATTAGTTTTGAGTTAATAATATGTCCAATTAAAATCTCAACTAGAAAAATCCAAAAAACAAAAGAAGGGTATTAAATAATGTTATATTTCCTAAACAAAAATAATATTTTATTTTCTTTTTTGGGTGGGGGCTTGAAAGGTCGATGGATCAAGTCCACGACAACATCCTGACATGATAAGTTGCACATTCGCTATTAGTTATAAATTTTTTGTATACTAACAAAAACTACTTGATCCTAACATTCTTATATTAAATTAAAATCTCCACCTAATTAATAATCAAACCATGTAGTTGCATGTGACATACTTACATTTATGACATTTAAAGAATAACAAAAACTCATAATATTTTGACTACTCATAAATTAACTAACTTCATCATAACTTAATTAGATAAATGTTATCATAAAAAAATCAAGTTTATTGAATTAATAGTTGAATACACAAAAGAGTCCATACAATAATGCTACTATATATATGTTATTAGTGGCATTAATAAGATACTGCAGTGTCATTGTTTTACAAGTAATTTGTGCAAAATCTTTCCCCTAATGAGTAGTTTTTGATTTTTTTTTTTTTTTTTAAGTTACTAGCTCTATTACATTATAGTATCCGTTCATATACTTTCTCAACCTACTGAAACACAAAGAACCAATAACGCATCCACTGAGGCTTGAACAATGAGTAGTGTTTGATAAATGTCTGATAATCTAAAATTTGGTTGGTTTGACTGGTCAATTAGCTACTTTAAAAGCTTATTGGGTCAATAAAAAGGCTTATTGCATTAGCTTATTGAGGCAATAATCCAAAATTCAAAAAGCTAAGAAGAGAAGTGTTTTTCACTTTTTTTTGTTAGCTGATTGACCTTAATTGTAAAATGATCATTTTACTATTGTCATCTCTAACATTTATACCTCTCTTGTTAGTTGTTGTCCATCTGCCTTTCCCCTTTTTCTTTTTATTTCCGTAACAACAATAATAATGTTTTTCTTTCTTTTTTTGTGTCACTCATCCTTCAAAAAAAAAAAAAAAAAAAAAAAATAATAATAATAATAATAATAATAATAATAATAATAATAATAAATAAAAATTATAAAAATAATGTAAAAGTTAAGAAATGAGCACAATATGCTTATGAAAAAGTAAACAGTTAAATAATTAATTTACCAAACACTTTTTTTACAAGAAACTAATACTATCAGATGGTCAAACCAACTAACTCAATCAGCTATTAGCTAACTTAATCATCTATTAGCTAGCTATACTTTCACAAAGTCTTGGTCATGGCCGATAGATACATTCACTACTGGAAATCTTGTTGTGTGTGTGTATGAAATTGTTGAAAAGGACAAAAATACTTTCACAGAGTCTTGGTCATGGAATCTTCCGAAAGATACATTCACAAAGTCCCGTATGTTTCCTATGAAATTGTTGAAGGGGACAATAATGCTAACCGTGAAGATTGGGCAATAAATTGTGCATATTTCTTTTGACACAATCAAAATACTTCAAATTACTTTTGTTTTGTTTTTTTTTTTTTAATGCAAATCTTTCAACTAATTTAATGAATATCAGTTTCTGAAGAATTCTTTTGTGATATCAGTTTATACTGCTAAATGTTCTGGTTTAATAATAATATTTTATTGTTAAATTTTGTTTTTATTTCGTATTTGAACTCTTCGCATATCAGGTAGGTGTTTGCTTAAATTCCTTTACTACTTCTAAAATTGTATATTAATATTTTATGAATTGCATATTTAATTTATGCATGTTTTGGGGGTATTATTTTTTACATATAAATTACTAATTAAAATAAATATACACTTTTAGTTTTAGCAAGAATATCACTGGTTAGTTTTAAATACCACGGTAAGGGAATAATATCCTAGTCTATAATCTTTTAACATGTTATTCATTTTCTTAAATAATGAGAAATCTAGTTAGTTAAAATTAAAAAAAAAAAAAAAAATACTACATTTACTCTTACTTTTTACTCAACATTTATTCAATTCTTTGCTTATGTAACACAATATGATCAAATTTTAAATATAACTAATTTGCACCGTCAAGGGGTGTAAAAAGTTTGCACCGTCAAAGGGTGTCAGAAGTTTGCACGGTCAAGGGTGTAAGAACGACTTACAAAGTCTTTGGTTACTACAATTGGGATGTCTAAAAAATGTTTGTAAGTATATGATTATTGTAGGGGAAGACTTATGACGTGAGCTTCACTTCATAGACTAAGAAGTTGATAATCATGCTAGTAGTAAATATACAAGATATGAATGTTTTGTACCTTTGGCACACATAATGGGGTATAGAAGACTTAGAGACAAGTCTTTGATTGTGAACACTTGATATATCTACATCATAGTGGGGTAAAAATAGATTGAGACAAGTTAATCTTCAGTGGCAAGAAAAGGTAGTCCACTTTATATTAGAGAGTTTGGTTATGAGTATCAGAGTATGTAGTAAATTTTGAGAGCTCATCATGTAATAATTTTTTATTATATGCAGGACGAGAATAAAAAATCCTAATGCATTTGTATAAAGAGATTGGTAAAATTTAAAAGTCACATATGTATATGTAGAGAGTATATATAAGAAGTATATTTTTCGCCATATTGATAAGATACAAAAATTATGTTTACTAAAATTTGCAGAATATATAAGTCATCACTACATATGCATTTGTACGTAGACTGTATAATATTATTTCTCAAGTCATAGTGGACTCTGATCTATGGTTTATAACGAGGAAATATATGTATATATGGCTAATGTATAGTATCACAAGCAATATGGTTATGCTCATATAGTAGGACACATACAATACAATGATATTAGATATTTACTTTCAAATCAAAAAACAATCGTAACAAGCAAAACATTTAGTTTAAAATTTAAAAATATTGTATTATTCATTCTAAAAATGAGATGATCTTGTGTGAGATCGTTTCACATGAAACCTATAATACCTTTTAATAATAATGTAATTTTTTTAGATTCAAAGTATTATATTTAATTATTTATGTTAAAATATATATATTATATTACACATATCATATGTGACGGTCTTGTGTTATTTCTAATTATGATAGACGTTCATTTAATACTAATCAATTTAAATTACTCAAATTTTGGATATAATTAATTTGCTCCGTCAAAGAGTAAGAAGACCTATAAAGTCTTCCCCTGCAAGTTTGTAAGTATATCATTACTGTAGGGGAACATCACAATCAAAGACAAAAACTTTAATTTAATTCTCAACCAAGTTGAGATGACAAGATAATACTATTTTGGACCTTTGCACTTTGCCCTTTGCCCTTTGCCCTTTGCCCTTTGTACACTCTAAAGTAGGGTATATATAAGAAGACTTAGAGACAAGTCTTCTATGACAATTACTTTAAATGATAGATTCACCTTCTTATTATTATTATTATTATTATTATTATTATTATTATTATTATTATTATTATTATTATTAAAAAGTTTGATAAAACTAACGAATGTAATTGTACATTTAATTTTAACACTTTGTAATTTAATGGAATAATTTATTATATATAATAGCTGGCACAATATTTTATTAAGTAATGTTATATTCTTAGATTTTGTTACATTGCATTGTGATATTTGCCGCAATTATTTTCATGTTCATTGATTTGAATAAAAGTTGTCATAATCAATCATATTCATTGGTTACACATCAAAGTCCTAGAAAAAAAAAAGATTTTTGATACAAATAATTTAGGAAAGCATCATTTTTTAAAGATTAGGATTTATTAAATAACTATTCAATCCTCTCAAAAGAATTTTTCGTTTCACCATTCTAAAATTAACTCAATTTAATTTAACCATTCTAAAATTAACTCAATTTAATTTAACTTGTATTTTAAAGATTAGGATTTATTAAATAACTATTCAATCCTCTCAAAAGAATTTTTCGTTTCACCATTCTAAAATTAACTCAATTTAATTTAACCATTCTAAAATTAACTCAATTTAATTTAACTTGTATTTTAAAAACTAGTATTTGCACCCGTGCGATGCACGGAATGGATTTGTTGTAATATATTAAGAAAATATAAATCGATATATAATTATTTAAATTAGAACATCAAATATTATATAGTGCAATTAAACATATATAATTTGAATCGTTTATATATTTTGATGTTATCATTGCTTGAATTTGTGCAAATAATGGCTCAAATTAATAGCTAATGTCTAGATGTGCGCATGCGGTCCTATAATTTTGAAAATTTTATTTATCATTGTTTACTATTTTCATACATTAGGCAAATGTGCTCGTTCTCTAACAACTCAGTTATATAAATGAATTGCTATCTTTATTCATTTGTATGGAAGATATATCTTTTTGTCTAGATATATAGCAATTTTTTCATTTAAAAAAAAATTAATATCACCAATTATATTTACACATTATTGAAACCTCTTTGTAGACGACATTGGTAGTGACAACACAATCGTGTTCATCTTCGTCTAGAGCTAACATCTTCTCCATCAGGACGGGTTACTTGTATGAAAATATATAATGGTAGAATATCACTCAATTAGTTATCCTTTTATCTTTTCAGTCAATTCGTAATATCATATTCATTTTTCAGCCAATTATTCTTTTTTATTTTCAGTCAATTAAAATATCAAATGACTTTTACCTAACTTTCTATTTTTAATTGATGATGTAGATATTATTATTGGAATATTTTCCTCCAATTTTTAATTTCCATTCCATTTTTAATTAAAATGCAATGATTAGAAGAAGATACTTT